AAAAAATAACATTATGATGTTGGTGGTGACAGATATTTTCCAGTAAATAGAGTTATATTCTGATGACATTCTCGAATCATAAATAAAAATGGATGATCAACTTTAAATTCGATAGGATCAGGATTTCGGTGAACTGCACGAGACGCTCTCAGCATAATTACAGCAGTAGCTGCAGCAGCTTCCGAACCTAATTTAAGTAAAATTTTAAAAAATAAACTTTTACTGAATTATATTTATTATTTGTAATATCGTGTGAAAGGAAAAGTTACAGATGATAACAAAAGCTATATTCCTCGACCAAGAAAACATTTTTAAGATTTCGGTGGTGATAGGTATTTTCCAGAAAATAGAGTTATATTCTGACGACATTCTCGAATCATAAATAAAAATGGATGATCAGCTTTGAATATGATCGGATCAGGATCTTGGCGCATCATGCAGCACTCTCGCTCCATAATTACAGCTGTAGCGGCAGCAGCTTCCGAACCTAATTTAAGTAAAAATTTTAAAATAAACTTTAGGGAATCATGTTTATTAACTATAATATCTTATGAAAGGAAAAAAAATCAGGCAAGAAAATAATATTATGAACTTGGTGGTGACAGATATTTTCCAGAAAATAGAGTAATATTTTGACGACATTCTCGAATCATAAATAGAAATGGATGATTAGCTTTGAATTCAATGGGATCACGATTTCGGACGATCGCGCATGACAGTGTCATCATAACAGCAGTAGCGGCTGCAGCTTCTGAACCTAGTTTAAGTAAAAATTTCAAAGTAAATTTTTACCAAATTACGTTTATTAACTATAAAATCTTATAAAAAGGGAAGTTTCAGGTGATAATCAAAATTTTATTTCTGAGTCAACAAAATAACATTATGATGTCGGTGGTGATAGATATTTTCCAGAAAACAGAGTTATATTCTGACGACATTCTCGAATCATAAATAAAAATGGATGGTCAGCTTTAAATTCGATGGGATCAGGATCTTGGCGTCTAACACAACATGTTCTCAGCATAATTACAGCCGTAGCTGCAGCAGCTTCCGAACCTAATTTAAATAAAAAATAAAAACAAACTATCCTGTTTAACTTTAAAGTTTTCGATGGCTTATTTTTAATAAGAACAAATCTTTTAAAAATAATAAATTGAATGGTCAAAGTTTATACGAAAGAAAAAATAAGAGAACTTTATATTTTTCGTAAAAGAAAATAACATTATGATCTTGGTGGTGATAAATATTTTCCAGAAAACAATGTTATATTCTGGCGACATTCTCGAATCATAAATAAAAATGGATGATCCACTTTGAATTCAATGGATCTGATATTTGATGTCGCTCGACGTTTCCTTTTCAGACTAACGGCGGTAGCAGCTGCTGCTTCCGATCCTTGAAACAAAAAAAAAAGAATACAAGCCTCGAACGATATTTAATTCTAATGATACGAAAGAATTTAACGAACACAAATAGAATTTTAGTGATTGATTAACATGTCATACGAATTTCAGAACTTATTTCGCTGTTATCTGTATGATAAAAAATAGATAAGCTTACCTTTTTCGTTCACATCAATGAATGCTTTATGAATAACCTAAAATGTTTAAAAATAAACAAATCTATCTTCTCTATTAATAAATTATCTACTTTGCTAATGTAAAGACCAGCCATATCATCTTGTTTACTAACAATACCAGTAAAATCGGCAGCATTTCCATCGAATGCATCTTGTATTCCAAGTTGTTTAAGAACATCATTTAAAGTAAATGTTGCTTCCATTTTAAATTTTGGTAAATATAAAAGAAGTTCTTGTGTTGTTGTACCTTGATGATTTAAAACCTCTTGCATTAAATCAGGTTTTGATGTTAATTTTTTTTCGACATCAGATAATGAAACACCTTGTTTTGGTAAAATAACAGTAAAAACAAATTGAACATCTTTATTATCACTTTTATAAGGTAAATGAGCAATTTGTACTCCTAAATCCTTATTTTCAGCATAAGCATATTTATCTTTCTTATACATTAATTTAACTTTCGAAGTTTTTCCATTAGCTTCATGAAAATCAGCTTGTTCATTTGTTGCATTTTCATCAAATTGTTTTACCCACGTACCCTATAATTCAATAAATCTTTGATTTAAATAAAAAAAACACTAGTATTTACCTTAAAATAAATACAATTAATAATAATTAATCTTGTATCACTTGAAACATCATTGGGTGAAAGTAAATTTTTAATTAATTTATTTGTTTGTTCTTCAACCCATGCATTAATTGTTTGAACAACTTTAGCACTTTCATTTTCAAAATCTTCAAGTTTAATATCAGCTGCAAAAGAACTTTGAACTTGTTTTAAATAATCTTCTTGAAGTTTATACGCTTTTTGAGCATATAGACGATTAGCTAATTTAAGTTGAACTTGTTTATCTTGATCAGCAATAGAAAAAACACGCATAACTTGTTCAGCTGTACTTGTCAATTGAGCGGTTGTTGATGCTTCTAATGCTTTTAACATTTGATTTAATGTTTCTTGTCGTGCACCTACTGTACACATTGACATTGCAAGAGCAATACTTGCCGGTGAAAGAAATATATTTTGATCTTTTTGACCTTCGCTAACAGTTGAGTAGAGTTTGAGACCAAAATGTTCGAAACCTGTAGTTGGTGTTGATGAAGCCATGTTTTTCGAATCTATACGAATAAAGAATGGGGAAAGTCTTTTGTATTTGTACCTTTATATACTATGATTCCTTTATCAATATTTGTTTTGACTATATTTTGATGATTCAGAATGTGAAAGAGGTGATATGAGTGTTTATGATACTGATGCCTCGATTACTAATGTAATAGATCGAGAATAGAGAAGAAAAAATAAAGTTAAACGATATGACAACACCTTACACTTTTTAATAAAGGGAATATATTAAATAAATAACAAACAGTGCTGATTGGTAGATATTTTAACGGTAAGAAACTCGATAGGTTGTTATACCGTGTTTCATGTATGATTCATACGTCTAAAGATAAATAAATTGCTTCGTTGTGATGAAATAACCGTTGAATGAATGCGTGGCCAAATGTTAATTCATCTGTGAACAATTAATATTTAAAATGTAGAACATCATTATGCAAACTTCCATACGTTATTTTAAAAAAAAGCTTATACTGCTATAGAATATTCTTATGATTCATACTGTTAGAATTAAAAGCGATTCTATCTCTTATTCGAAAACTAACAAAACAATCTAATCTTGTATCGAGAAGCAAGCAGTCTATCTGAACAAAACTTAATTAACAACGATCAAACACATTTTTTTTCTTTTAATTACGCGCGATTTCTAACACTAGTCATCTTAGTACCTTCCAATCGTTCATATGCCTTTAATTGTAAGATTTATTATGCATATGCATAGAGCATAAACTAGGTAACTCATAAGTTTAAAATAGAATAAAACCGCTAAATTTTATCAAACTCGATAGAATCCAAAACTTCATTGTTTCTTTCATAGTTTACAGATAAACTAAAAAATAAGTCAGGGGAATATTGATTTAATTTTAATCTGAGCGACATATTTCATATGTAATACATCAGAGTGTATCCTTAAAGCATTATTACAATATAATAGTATATTCTTCAAAATTTCAGCATATTTTCTGATGAATAACAATATCAATGTATGTATTAAAATGAAATTAATAATCATATTCGTAAACAAAGTCAGTGAACATTTCACTAACATTTAAATATACGTATATAGTTTTAGGTGATATATATCATAAACGAACTTGTTAGGTTTTTTCGAAAGATTCGAAAAGCAAGAATCAATTTAGATTTCAAATATTTAAACGTCAAACTAGCGGATTTTCGAACTAGAGAATTTTTTTATGTTATTTATTCGAAATATGTCAAATTATAGAAACTTAGCAGAAAAAATAAATTTAAAAATATTTATTACCGCAGTTAAACAACCAAGTACTGAGAACGCCTGAATTGTTCAGTCTTTTTGCTACAAATATCATCACAAGATATATTTTTCTGATTTTCGTCTGATTTGAAAAATTTAAGAGAATAGAAAATGATATTGCTCGATAGCGAAGTCTAGGAAAAAAGTTTTTGTATCGTATATTACTTCTGTAGTTTCTCGTTAAATGATAATGAAGATGAACTTGCTAACATATTTATTTTTGAATTGTATTGACCATTGTTTATAATTACTAATTTTAACTTATCATTAACAATTGACGAAAATAAGAAACGATTTTGAATTTTAGAATATAAGAGTAAGTAGAAATTCATTCATGGAAACATATACAATACCATTCTATAATAAATAATTATCAAGATTGATATAAAGTACAAATATAAGAATTATAAATGTATTTACGATTAAAAATAATCTAAATTATTCTATTCTATCTAATTAATGTTCTTTTCATCTATATAAATTTTTATCGACATAACATTAATTTCTTTGTAATATATTCTTGTAAAATCTAACATAAAATCTATCATGTAATTTTGATATGAAATTATTTTTATTTCTAGTCTGCGAAATTAACTTGATATTTTTTGTTTATTCCGGATCAGCAATTATCTATATTTGAATAATTTATAATAATACGTAGTCTACTCTCTCCCTCTGTTCGTTTATTTTTGATTACACTTTACTGGTGTTGTCTGTTGGTTGTAAGCACAAGGAATAGATGCGTGGTGAAAGAAAAAAAAAATAATATGAAAGGTCCTTTTTTTCTCTTCTGTATTTCATCGCATTCTTTTTAAAAATATTATATGTGCGTATATTTTTATTGTTTATTTCGTACCTGATGACTTCGTATATACGTAAATATGTCACAGCAGTTGCATCGGCAAAAGATTACGTAGCTCAATGGTCATCTGATCATGTTTATTCTGATGAAGAACTTATTGTACCATTTCCAACATTAGCTATATATGATCCACATAAACATGCTTGGACAGTACATATTAAAGCTTGGGTATATGTGCCATTTCAATCGAAATCATTAACAAGTTATCTTCCATCATTACCAAGTTTTTTAGGTGGTAGTAAAAATAATAAGAAAGAAAATGACGAAAAAAAAGTCGATAACGAAAATGTTGATGAATCGAATAATTCAAACAACGAAAATCAGAAGAAAAAAACAATATTTAATGAAAATGAATATATGAAAAATAAAAAATCTCCATCAAAAGATGTTAAAGTTAATCAAGATAAAAAAGATGCAGCTGCTGCAGTTAGTAAAGAAAATCATAAATTAAAGAAGGATGATGGAGCAAGTGATTCAGATGATGATTTATATGAAAATGCTTTGCGTTAGTACTTTATTAATTTTTTTTTCCAAAACTAATAATTCAAAATATTCATTTAGGAGAAGAATTCGGTGATCCAAATGAAAATCCTGGTCGTTTAGGTTTATTTTTTGTTGGAAATTCTGTTAAAATTGCAACAAAAACAATTATTAATGGTGTTGAACGTTTATTAGATCCATCGGATGACAGTGGTTTTATTGAACAACATGTTGAAATTCCAGATAAAGAACTTATATCACTTTGTACAAGAATTCATGAAGATTGTAAAGATAAAAAATTTGAATATCAAATACAAGTTAATCCAAAGAAAGAAGTAGAGAAAAACAAAAAAGAAGAAAATACGGACAAAGATAAAAAAGAAGAGAATCCTGGTAAAATTACAAAGGTAGAAAGCGCTGACAAAGATAAGAAAGAAGAAAATACGGACAAAATTAAAAAAGAAGAAAAGACGGATGATAATAAAAAGAAAGAAGATACTGACAAAGTTAAAAAAGAGGAAAATACAGATGAAAATAAAAAGAAAGAAGATACTGACAAAATTAAAAAAGAAGAAAGTACGGATGAAAATAAAAAGGAAGAAGATACTGATAAAAATGTTGAACATGGTAATGATTATAAAACGTTTACATGTACAGTTTATGTTCTTGCTCGACATGGTGTCAGTATTATATCAGACATTGATGATACTATCAAAGTTTCTAATGTACTTAGTAAACGATTATTATTAAAACATACGTTCTATAGTTATTTCAAACCGATCGAAGGTATGAGTGATTTGTATCAAAAATGGTATGAACAAAAATGTCAATTTCATTATATTAGTGCAAGTCCCTGGCAATTGTAAAAATTGAAAACTGAAATATACGAAAAATATTTTATGTATATTTTTTAGGTATCCTGCTCTTCGTTCGTTTTTGGACAAATATAAATTTCCAATGGGTACTGCCAATCTACGAAAATTTTCATGGAATTTACAATTTTTTAATCCAGCAGATACATATAAAATTGAAACTATTTCAAAAATGATTGATTCTTATCCATTAAGAAAATATATTTGTGTTGGTGATTCAGGTTTGTTTTATTTACAAATAATTCATTTTTTTTTAAAATATTTTTTCTTGTTTAGGTGAACTTGATCCTGAAATTTATTCGAAATTGTATATAAAATATCCTAAAGCAATTGCTCATATATATATTCGTGATATTTGTCATTCAGAAAAATGTTTACCAACATGTGAAGAACGATATACAAAAGCATTTGAAGGTGTACCAAAAGAACGTTGGACAATATTTAAAGATCCAAAAGAAATTGAAACGGACATCAAGAAAATCCTTTCTGCATGAGATGCTTAACTTTGTTTATTTGTTTTTTTTTTGTATAATTATTTTTATTTTTGTGTAATAAAAAAATCAACAAATAGATACATTGCGTTTCTTTACGAATTTATTCATGAAAACGAAAACATTCATTAGCAATGACCCATATCGATGAAGCAACATCAACAGTTAACACAAAAATATGTGAAAAAAGTTTTTTATCTTTTGCATTTCTTGTTTTATCTGTTTTACCATATGCAACTGCACCACTAACAAATACTTGATAAGTTGTTGTTTCATCTGGGAATAGATCTAAAATACAAATAAATTTCGAAATCATTTCTTTAATTTTAATCTTTTTACCTTTCATTGGAAAAAAATCTAATGAATAAATCGTATTTTCTGTCGATGGTAATGCTATAAGATGTTTCGCAATTGCTTCTCGTCCAGCTAATTCATTTCCATTCCAAATTAATTTTGCTTCTACTTGATAAAATTTTGAAATATCCTTATAAAAACAAATTGAATTTATTGTAAAAACAAAACAATAAAACAATATTTACATGTCTTCGTGTATCAAATATATCATAATATCGTTTAGCAAAATTTTCTACAGCTTCTGCATCTTGTCGACATTGTTTTTGCTAAATAATCGAAATTGTATAACACACACATAATCATAGAGATTCATATCACACCTGATCAACTGTTACTGTTGCTGTCATTGATTCAAACAAGAAAAAGAAAACAGACTATATATCTATATCTGAAAGATGAATTATATTTATTTATAAATCAGTCATAATGGTTAGTATATATAGTTATTTAACTATTAAAACAAATAATTTTTTTTTTAAACAAAGTTAAAGCGAATAGGATATCGATTTCTATTTTTTTTCCTGTGGTTGTTCATCTTCACTATTGTCAGAATGATTGTTTCGTTTAGAACTAAAATAGAAAAAACAAAAAATTTTCATTACAATTTATAACTAAGGGTATGGGTTTTCTTTTCTCCCATGTATCATCTCGATATACTATAAACGAAAACTTACTGTGATGTTGAACGAGATCGACGTGATGATCGTGATCGTGATCTAAATTAATAAAAATTTATGCAAAAAAAATATATATTTTAGATCAAACTAACCTTCGACGATTATTTCGACTGGGACTACCACCACTGCTGCTACGTGATCGATGTTTTGAACGTCGTGGAGATCTTGATCGTGAACGTGATCTAGGATTAATGAATAGAATTGTATAAAGTCAATGTATAAAATTATTTTTCGTGTTTTTAAAATAATATGCAGACTTATTGCCTTGAAAAAAAATGTCGCCTAATTAACAAAACATATGTATCTTACATCTGATCTGTTAAATTAATTGGAATATAACTGCAGTCTCGCTCTGTTTAGTTTGAATAAATAAAATCGAAAGTGCCGCATAGAAACACCGGGATAAACCAATATTTTTCTATTTTCTCGAATATGTCCTTTTCTAGACATTCTGGATACAGCATCTTTGTGCAGGAATATACCTGTGTGAATAGAGATAAACAATTTTCGTTTATTCTAATCGGATAGGAAAATTTGTATTAGAAGTTTTTTTTTTCTTCTTATTTTTCACCATGATTTCTATATTTCTTACCGACGATGATGAATTTTATTTCGACCATTTGTACCTGAACCGCGATTATAACGAGCCAATTGTACACGTACTTCACGTCCATCTATATCAGCACCATCCATACGATTAATTGCATTTTGTGCATCACGTTTTTCCAGAAAACTTGATTGAAAAATAGAAAAATATTGATTTATTTATTTATTAAAGGAACGTACCGAACAAAAGCATAACCACGATTGGAATGTGAAAATTGATCACGAGGAACATAGATATCACCAATAGGACCAAATCTTTCAAAACATCGTTGTAAATCGACAACTCGTGTACGATATGCTAAATTATCAACTTTAAGTGAATGCATTGTATTGATCTGGCTAAGATTTACATGACGATCAGATTTCTTTGGTGATCGATGTGATGACATTTTGTTTTTAATGAAAACTAATTTTTCTCTTCTATAAACAAATAAAGAATAATAATAATAATATTACAATGAGCAATCTAAGAAAGAAAGAAAATAAAATAACATATTTTATCAATTATGAGTAATAATAGCCATTTATATCTCGACTCATATGACACAACTAGAGGTTCAATAGATACCAGTGACATCTAGTGAAAAATGAATTTATGTCTTTTCAATTTATGTATCACTTGATCAATGTAATTGTACAACAGTGTTACATTAATGATATCATCTATACTAAATATTTGGAACTGAACGATGATTATTAATTAGTATCATATGAGATAATATATACATATTGATTATAATAGTGTAAAAATGTAATAAAAAACTTGTTCGTCATAAAGATTACAAATTCCCAACACCGTGTCATATATAAAGAGATTACTAGTTTGTCTCAAAAATAGTTATAAATTCAACAACATGTTTATTTGATATATGTAAGATCATTTTTTAGTTGTTTCTATGTGTTAAATACTATTAAAATGAATGTCTAGAAATTTTTGAATGGATAGTATTTGTTTGGGCAATCTAAAAACTGAAGTGAGCATTAAAAAAATGTTTTTCAGCAATTATGTATTAGGAAAAAGATAGTAATCAATTGATTAAACTGCAGTAATAAATATAAATATGAGCTAGAATAAATGAGAGAGAAAAATCCAGAATAATTTGGAAATCAAAATAAAACGCGAAGGGAAAATCCCGGAAAAACCTAAAGAGATGAGAACAGTTAGACAAAACCAAGAGATGCAAGAAACTAAAGGAGTTTATATGCAACTGTTAGAGATTCATTAGAATCATCCTCTTCATTTCACATATAATATTTTCCCTGCAATTTGTATACGATATAGTATAGAACAAAAGACAGACAAAAAAATAAGTCTATATTGCCCTTGATATGTTCTATTTATCTTTAGTGTTAATAAGTTATTGCTTAGTTATTATATTTATTGTAAAGTCAGTTTTATTATCGCTAAACTTGATTATTGCTCTATTAAATTTAAGTGTTTTTTTATTTTCTAAGAATCTGCATTCGTATTGTTGATTATATATATATAAATTAATTTTTACATTATAAAGTTAGTTTTCATTAATTACGATGAAACAGTACTAAAGACTTATATGAGCTATAATTTATTTTAATTTAAGGTAATATTTATGTAAAATGGGCAATCTGGATTGAGGGTGTGCGTAGAAATGAAATAAATTCTAATACACATCTACATTCAAGTCTATTCTCACTAAGGAATTGCACTTGATCGGGCACAGTCAAGTACTATCTGTTAATTTTTTTCAAAACCTTTTAGTTTAGGATTATGAATAAGTACTTTTAAAAAGTTCCAAAGCATATACAATATTTTTTCCTTTTAAGTCTTAAAAACCAAAATGTCACTTTCAAGGAACGTTGTAATAAATGCGATACAACACATAATAAAGTTCTTAAACAAAACCATGGTTCTTCAAACATTGATAACTTTTTAATGTTACTTTTTGGTTTTGATTATTCACAGGAACAACATGAGAACTTATGTTTTTTGAAGTGATATTGTGAGGCGTATTATTAGACTATCGAATGAACTTATCCCGCAGAATTTTAATCAATCTACGAATACATTACGACATTATAAAGGAAATGTTTCTCGGAAAGAACATTCGGTCCTAACGGTATACTTCACCATATTTTTTTTCGCAGTAACGGACGATCTTTAAAAGTGCTCTCAGTATACCTTATCGTATTTCAGAAATGTTAATGATGTATTCTCTTCTCTCATACTCTGCTCTTTTCAGTTGTTATTATTATTTTTGATATTTTCCCTTGTTCTGTATTATGGATTTGTCCTTTCGTTCTCATATATGGATTATTCTCTTTTCTCTTGTGAAGATTTCATAGGTAATGTTTTCTTCTTGTTCGTCATCACCTATGGAAGATTCATGTATAGATGGTTTGTCTTTGTTTATCACCTATATAAACACATCTGTTGCAATAAAAGTCATAAAATCTTTTTTTGCGTATAAATCAAGAAGAAAGGGGAACTTGATGCCGCTAAGACAGAATATTCCTTCCAAGAGACATACTGTATGTATAGGGGGAAAAAAATTTACCGCTTTAATACAATCATATTAAGGATTTAGAAGCTCCATTTTAGTGATCAGTTTCTTCTCATGTTGAAAAAAGTGTTGTTTCTTTGCGCTAATCTCACTTTATTTTCGATTTGTACAGTAGAGTATTTGACTTTACTTTACTATTTGAAGGTAAAATAAACATGAAGTAGTTACCTGTACTTTCACCTCATCTCACTTCCAAGCAGACCATTTAAAGCAGAAAAGACTTTATTGACATAATAGTATACTAATATTTTTCTTTCGTTTTTCTTTTTATTGCTGATACATAAAAATACTACTTCTATTTAATAAATTAATTATTGTACATTTATTGATATTAAATTATTCTAATGAACTTTTTTTTATTACTCATAAGACATTACTAGATCATATCTTGACTTTCGCTCATTTCAATATTTTTATTGCTTAAAAAAATGCTCGTCATTAACAAATATAATGTATGACATTAATTTATATAGATATAAAATATTACTACATATTTCAAATTCATTGAAAGATCAGATTTTTATCGATTTCAAAAAAGTTGCAACAGTTCGTAATAAGAGAAAAATAATCTCATGTAGTTCTGTATTGACATTATAACTCAAAACTCAAAATTTACATAGGAAATAATACTACAAATATTAGCATTATAATATATATATATACACAATAATTTGTTTTATTTATCCGGAAATCTATACATATTAAAAATGATTACTTTGAACTACATAATTTTCATGACTTTTTTTATACGAATTTTAACATACTTCAGATCAGGAAATTCTTTTTGTATGTTATAACATTTTCTTTTTCGCATGATTGATTTACTCATACAGAACGAAAACAAACAGTACGTATGTCATAGTATGTACATATTTCTTGATTTATATAACGATTTATACATATATTTTTTTTATGTTTATCGAGCAGCATCGATGTATATTTTAAAATATAAATACTCATCAAATGTGTTGATAATTGACTAATTCTGTTGGTAATTGTGTGAAAATCTATTACAGTTTTAATCAAAGACGAACCAAGATTTAAAAATGAATGTTTCTATGCCACGTTGTTGTCGACGATACCTATGTATCATTTCAAGTGTATTCTTTTCATTGATTTTATTTATTTATATTCAGTATTTTCAATATTTATCGAATAATGAAAATCTTAATCAACCAGCTTATTGCAATCAAACAATTATTCGTAAACATTTTATGCAAAATAAAAGGTATTTAAAGACATTTACTGTATCGTTTGTTTTATGAGATAAAGACTGATAGTACTAATCATTAGAGTTCATCAAAGTATCGTTTGTACACAAGTACAATTTCTAGAGACAAGAAAATAAAGTAGTATCGATTACAAGTAGTTTAAAGCCATTGAAATGGGTAACAGTTTTTTTATGTTAATGATTGCTTGTCAAACAATGTCTTGACGTTCCACCTTTTTAAAGTTCTTACTCTATTCGATATAATAGTGAACCAATAAAGAATTTTATTTACATTTCTTACCTGTTTCTAATAGTAACATGGATCGCTTAGTTTTACTCCTTTATATATATAATGTGTATTGTTGGGGAATAAGATCCCATCTTGAATCTTTATATGAATTTATAAGCTAGTTTTTTTTGAGATACTTTCATTTTTAGTCCTCAAGAATTATTTGAAGAAAATCCAAGTCAATCAACTTTTACTTATGAAATACATAATGGAAATTTTTGTTTGTCTTTACGACCGCATGCTCTTGTATTTGTAATCTCAAAGTCAAATAATTTTGATTCACGTAATGCTATTCGTCGAACATGGGGTAACTTTGCTCATATAAGTTCTCTTAACAAATTTTCTCATGTTCGTTTAAAACTCCTTTTTCTCATTGACATCGATGAATCTCGTTTATTGAGTATCAAATTGGAACAAAGACTATATCACGATATTGTTCAAGTTCGACTACCTCAATATTACTCATTATCAACATATCGAGATATGGCTATATTACATTGGACAGATAAATATTGTTCAAAAGCTATGACAACTGTAAAAACCGATGATGATATTTTTCTTAATACATATCTATTAGCCAATATAATCAATACTATTCGTATTAACACAACAATTCATAAAACAAAACTTCAGTGTAGTTATTCAGATACATCAGCAATTATCTATGGCAATTTATTTAAACAAGCACCAGTAGTTCGATCTTCTTCTAATCCGATTCAAGAAGGTACACGTTATATCACTACGAATACTGAATATCCATGTAGCCACTATCCAAATTATATGAGTGGTTTTGGTTACATTGTTAATCGGAATGCACGTTCAAAACTCCTTTGTACATTTTTTCGAGATAAATTACCTTTTCATATGTCCGATGTGTATGTAACTGGCATTATACCAGAATATGTTGATATCAAACGACAAAATTTAGATTTATTAATAAGCTATCGATCGGATGATGATTGTGAAAATTTTTTTAAAGAACGTAATCCAAATAGTTATGCATGTGCATCATCATTACATTATAATCAAAAACAAATGAATATATTTGAACGATTTAATACTTATTGGCAACATGTTTATGAAAATAAATTTTTATATATAAATCACAAGATTATTTTATCTAAAAAATAAATTCATATTTAATATTATTCTAGATTATGAAAATATGAGAGTTATTCGACATTATTATCGTATATTGTATAATTTTTATTTGATAATCTTTTATATAGTGGCCTATTTGTCAATTCTTTTTTGTATTCATCATATTTGGTGTACGAATAAACATATATGTGATAATCAATTTTTATGTCCACATCGTCAGATAACTTTATATACAAATTTGAGAATTATTCAAGAAAATCAACAATCATTATGTAGTGCAAGGTCAAAAAAACGTGGTCCACATCAATATGTTATTGGTGTATCTGCTTATTTATCACGAAAAGATAATAAAAAGTTAATATCAAAATTAAAAACATATCTATTACAATATATTGAAGAAGCAAAAGAAAATTATCCGAAGTGGATCGTCCGTGTTTATTATTTTTCACTTAATATATCTCGAGAAGAAATACTTGATATTGAAGATAAATATGATAATGTTGATTTTTGTGATGTAACAAATCTTCCTGTTTTGGGTAATGTTTTAACATGGTTACCAGGAAAAATGCAACGTTTTCTTCCAATAATTGATCCATTTGTTGATATTTATATGTCAAGAGATATTGATTCACCTATACTTGATCGTGAGACAACAATTGTTCGTAAATGGTTAGATTCGAAACAAACTATGCATATTATTCGTGATCATACTCATCATGCTATACCTATATTAGGAGGTTTATGGGGAATAAAAGTACATGAAGAACGTTTATGGATGAATAATATCTCTCAATATTTGTTATCATCTGATGTTGTTCAATGTTATAGTGGTAAACATGATCAAACATTTCTTCAAGATTATCTTTGGCCACATGCAAATATGTATAGTGAAATGACACTTGAATATGATAGTTATTATTGTGATAAATTTCCAAATTCCCGTCCATTTCCAACACGAAAACTATCGCCAACACGTTTTGTTGGTTGTCGGCGTCCGAATTGTACAACTGATATAGATGTAGAATGTCCAAAGAAATGTCGACCTGTAGGTCATCCAGATTGGATATGGTGTTAAATTAGATAAGAAGTTTACTTATATTTATTCAATATGAGTTCTAATAGAATGAGAAGAGTCAATGTCTTGTGATTAAAAAAAATTCTATTCAAAGTTAAATGAGATATTTTTAAATTCTTATTTGAAAATTAATTTTACTTGTACATAGACCATCCTAAACATAAGCATTTTGTCGTTAACAAAACTAGATAAATACTTAGTCAATTGTTTTATTTAAAAACATTTTTGGATGAAGTCAGAATATTTTTATAAATTATAATAGAAGCATTTGAGAGAATTATTGCTATTGATAGGATCTGATAAGCGGATTTTTTTTGGTGTTTTAATCGTTATAAAGCGTAATTAAAAATAAAAAAACACCGTTTTATCGTTCATTTACTTACATTGTTCGATAAGATAGATATAGAACTGACAATTTTTCTTTTAAGAATTTAATTTTCTATTGCTTATTGTTTGTTTTACTAGTCATAAAATATCTTGATAAATTTAGAAGTCAAAAAAGTATTGCATAATTATTTTATATAACATTTTATTTCGTTGTGTCTGTGATATTATCTGTTTTTGTATTGTTATAGTTCATTCTATCTATTGATTTCTCTTGTATTATATAATACACCCATTTGCAATTATCTGTGTGTCATAATTTGATATTTAATATTATTGTTTGTTCAGATGTAACTGATCGTTTTTTTTGTCATTCATTCAATCTGATATTAATAAAATAAAATATTAATTAAACCTTTTGTCTGCATTTGTTATCAAAACGGATGAAACCAAAATATGATTATTTTTCTTCTTCGGTATATGAGGGCGCTCAATAAGATTCCAAAATGGTTGATTTGAAATGTTTTTCAGTTCACACTTTAGAGTGGTATCCATAGGTTTATCGAAATCAAGCTTTTTTAATTTCATAAGTTGATACTATTGATAGCATTAACAACAACATCAGTATATTTATAATATTATTAATTAGATATGCCGAAATACTGTTGGTCTCGTACCCTGGCAAACTGATAAAAACATTATAAAGGTAAATCAAATTAAAATCATGCATTGATATTGATGATCAAAACAACCTATGTACCATAAGGAGAAATAAAAAAATACTTATTCTTTTCTGTGTCATTTTACCTATTATCTGAAAATAGAAAGTGACAAACGTCGTGATTTTGTATTTTCTGTTTGTCACGCATAATGATTCTCGGAAGTGATTATATATTTTCTCACGTTTTTTATACTTGATTGTTTATATAATTCGAAACGTTAAAACCATGTACTCGTTTCTTACAATAATTTTTCTTACTATATCGATTATTCAAGCAAAGGACTATGATATTAATGATCAACAAATTTGCACACGAAATCCATTTACAGTAAATTTTCCTCATAATTGTTCACGTGCAAGACTATTTCAAACTGTTGATACTCCTAATACTAATACAATTTTACATATCACTATTATCTTTGACATACTTAACTGTACCGTACCCAAAAACTGCTCTCTTTTTTCTTCGACATTACAATTCAATACATTATTTACTATTACAAAGTCAGATGAGTATGATCAACTAATTTATTTTACATTTTTTTCATGGAATCAACGATCAATGTATATAAATAATAAAACAAATCTATTATTCGATGCGTCAACAGTAAATTCATATTTATATAATACATCATCTGAGCAATTTACTCGACAAATGAAGCCATCCAAAATTGGTGAAAACTATATGTGTATGCTGATAAATAACTCTCTTACACCGGAAGATGTTACTCGTGTGTATTATTTATATACAAGTCAAAACGATCTTAATATTGATTTGTCAATATCAAGTTATTATATTCCACCAAAGTTTGCTTTTACTGACATATGTATTTATAAGCGCACGTGGCTTTCTACTGTTGCAATTATTTTTATTGTTATTATTTGTGTTTTAAGCGTTATTACAATAGTTCTTATTGTTATCTGTCTAAGAAAACAACTGAAGGAATTCTTCCAGATCATGAGGAATAGATTCCAACATATGCATGATAAGGTTCCCGTACAAAGGGTTGCTTATTAATCTTCATGATGATACAAAAACAAGACTACTACTTGGCATAAATACCTTATACTGAAATTAGAATATTTAGTTTTAACTAACAAATTCTTTTTATTAATGTAAAATGTTCATTATAAGTATATGATATTTTTCTTAATACATATCTATCAGCAAATATAATTAATATTATTCTTATTAGTAAAATAATCGATCTAACAAAACCTCAATGTAATTATTCAGATACATCAGCAATTATCTATGGCAATTTATTTAAACAAGCACCAGTAGTTCGATATTCTTCTCATCCAATTCAAGTTAGCCAGATTATATGAGTAGTTTTGGTTACATTGTCAACCGGAATGCTCGTTCAAAACTTCTTTGTACATTTTTTCGAGATAAACTACCTTTTCATATGTCCGATGTTTATGTAACTGGTATTGTACCAGAATATGTCGATATCAAACGACAAGATTTTAGATTTACTAATAAGTTATCGATCGGATGATGAGTGTAAAAAGTTCTTTGAAGAACATCATTACATTTTAATCAAAAACAAATGAATATGTTTGAGCGTTTTAATACTTATTGGCAGCTTGTTTATGAAAATAAACTTTTATATATTGACTTATTTGTCAATTCTTTTTTTTATTCATCATATTTGGTACACTACTAAAAACAAGTTTATCGAAATCAGGCTTTTTTAATTTTATTAGTTTATATTATTTACTTGATTTTAATACAAACAGCCAAACACTTGTCTTTCTGATCATTCACTATTAGACAAGTATCTTATGTTTTCAATCTTATCTAGAAGTGCATCTATATGTACATCACAACTATGTTCTAACAATATTAAATACATATATGTCAAACCAAATACACGAGGAAATTCTTAGTGTCGAATACAATTTTCATGATATTCGTATTTGAAAAAGTGTACATTTAGCCAGCTCTATGTTATTTATATAATAAACAATAACATCAGTATGTTTATAATATTATTAATTACATATGCTAAAATATTGTTGGTCTCTCACTCTGGCTAGACTAAAAGAAACATTATAAAGGTAAATCAAATGAAAATCATGCTTTAATATTGATACTCAAAACAACGATGTACTCCAAGAAGAAATAAAAAAATATTCATTTTTTTCTTTCTGATTTTACCTGTTATCTGAAAGTAGAAAGTAACAAGCGATGTTTTTTTTTTCATTTTCTGTTTGTCACGCATAATGATTCTTGGAAGTGATTATATATTTTCTCACGTTTTTTGTACTTGGTTGTTTATATAATTTAAAACATGAATATCATGTACACATTTCTAATAATAATTTTTCTTACTGTATCTGTTATTCAAACAACGGATTATGCTATTAATGATCAACAAATTTGCACACGAAATCCATTTACAGCAAATTTTAATCATAATTGTTCACGTGCACGATTATTACAAACAGTTGATACTCCGAATACTAATGCAATTATACATATTACTATTATTTTTGATCTATTATTATGTGGTTTCGATGGATTGCTCAATATTTCTCCAACAGGAATATTGAATACGTCATTTACTATTACAAAATCAGATCAATATGATCAACTAATTTATTTTACATTTTTTTCATGGAGTCACCGATCCATGTATATCAATAATAAAACAAACCTAACATTTAGTGTATCAACAATAAATTCATATTTATATAATACATCATCTGAACAATTTAGTCAAACAATTAATCCAGTACCCATTGTTGAGTGTAATTGTGATTTGTTAAATAAATCTTTGACACCGGAAAATGTTACTCGTGTATATTATTTAAATACAGATGCAATTAATCTTAATATCGATTTGTCAACATCAAGTTATTATATTCCACCAATGTTTGATTTTGTTGGTATATGTCTTACTACGAAAACAACTTTAAGTACTGGTGGAAAAGTTTTTATCATTCTTATTAGTGTTTTTAGTTTTATTACAATAGTTCTTATTGCTATCTGTCTAAGAAAACAATTGAAAGAGTTATGGCATATCATAAGAAATCGGCTGAAACATAAACGTGGTGAGGTTCCCGCACACAGGGTTGAACGTTAATCTTCATGATGATATATGAACAAGGCTATCAGTTGGAATAAAGAACTTATACTTAAATTAGAATATTTGATTTTCACTAACAAATTTGTTTTTTTTATAAATGTAATATGTTCATTATAATTATATGAAATTTTTCTTCATATTATATATTAATCATATTTGTATTTTATTCTTTTTACTATCAGATCAACTATATGAAATGAAGTCATTAGCTAAAGATTAATATAGATCGATTAAGTTGCAAAAAATATATATTCAGACGTCTCTCTTTTTTGTAATATTCTTTTCATTAGTGTAACTTGTCAAGCATAGTCTATCTATGGAATAAAAACTTAAAACATACATACAATATTACAACAAATGATATTTTGAAAAATAAGCATCGTCAGGAACAAAAATGATTATATGATTTAATTTCTTGTGAGAATAATACTCTAAGGAGAAATCCATTGAAATTAATTAAATGTTGAATTATTCAACCAGTGACAGCTGTCAAGATAAGATAAATATAGACTTGTTACATGCTTTCAAAAAAATTTCTCATTCATTTTTTTACACGGAAAGTTCTTGTCAGAATAATATGTCAAGCTACTCAATAAAAACTTCGTAAGTTGACCTTTAATAAATAAATATCGAAATCTTAAGTTCAATTTGATTGAAACATATTTCATAGTCAAAGAGCTTATCTCATAATTCTGTTTAATCTGCAGCAGTATTCACTAAAAATTGTATTTAAAAATTAGACGAAACAAAAAAAAAGAATAGTTCTGTTTGTTTTCACACACACACACACACGCACGCACACACATATGTTTTTTTTACACAAGTCGGACTGGCAACATCACCATTTTTTTCTCAAAGATACGTAAATACATAGTCAAAAAAAAGAAGAATACGAACAATAACTAAAAAAAAACGATCAAACAAAATTGAACAAAAAAACAAAAAACATCTTCCTTATTTTCTTCTGTATTTCTTCATTTCAATCTCAATTGTTCCTCATACATAGTATGTAGATAATAACCAAAGATAAATAAACGCACGAATAAGTGTCACAAAACAAAAGACAAAAAAAAAAGAACGAAAAAGAAGGCAATCATGTTGTTTTGCCTTGTTGTTGTTGTTGTTGTAATCTCATATTCGGTTGTAAAGGAGGAGTTGACATTTGTGATGATAATTGACTTCGAAAATATGCTCCTTTTTGATCTAAATAATAGATTTATTTCGTTGAATTTCTTAGTTTTAAATTAATTTACTAGATTCAAGATTTGCCGATAAAGAATTATGTCCTGTTGCATTCGGTATATCTTTTCCACCAGTTGGTTTTTGTCTTCCATGAATTGTATTTTGTAATTGTTTACGTACAAATTCACTTGTACATCGTGCCGGTTGAAAACTATTAGAAATACAAATAAAACATATTTTTCTTTAGGAATATAAATATATACCTTAAACAATTCATCATTTGATTGTTAAGTTCTTCGGATTGACGACATTCAGCAGGAGTTAAATTAGGTATTGAAGGATTCATGAGATTGTTTGAATCTAATTCAATAAATTAAATTTAGAACAGAAAAAGAAAGAAAGTTATAGTACATACTATGTGGATGTTGTTGTATAGTTGCCGATAGGGCTACGCTCATATTAGAATATGGCTATAATAAAAAAAAAGAAATTATATATTACTCAATATTTTGAAAAAAAAATACCTATAACTAATTCTTGATTCTGATCTCATCATATGTAACTAAGATATGGAAGTAATAAGGAAATCATTTCATCGCTTCCTTTTCTTTCTTTCTCTCTCTCCCTTCTATCATTATATGAGCTAATTTGTGCTATATATTGCTTCGAGTAGTGTCAAGGTCTTCTTGTCCAATATGTAATATGATGCAAAAAAGAAGAAGAAGAAGAAATACTGCCTTGAACTTATGAGTACACGCGAGAGTAAGAGAATAGAATTTCGAGGACATCCGCCATTCAATGAAAATAGTGCTTCTTTCTTTCTTTTTTACATCCTATGTCAGTTACTCAATCTTGATCATGTATACAATCATTGAAGAAGCAAAAAAGGGGAGAACGAAAGAGTAAACTATTTCTTATATGTTCAAATAAATGATTGTCTTTATTTGTTCATTTTATAAATATAAATTCAAAGATTCTATTTGATACATAATGATTGTATCAAGTAAATATTATGTGATCAAATGGTTATATCAATTTTTATTCAAAAAAATCACATTGACCTTTTCTCAATAGAGTTCAATGTATTACTTTTTCTTTTAACTAATTCTAAAATTAAATGATATAGATAATTTAATCTTTCGATAACATTTTTAGGTCTTGATTAGAAATAGAACCTTGAATTTTTATCATGAATGAGAGAAAAAGAAATAAATCTTTTTTCCGAAACCTTGAATAGAAACATAACAGAAGAAGAAAAAAATAATATAAAATCTCTTTTCTTTCTTTTTTTCTTCTTCTTCTTCGTCTTTCCGCATACATACACTATATTAAATTAGGTCATACAAAAAAAAAAACATTCGTTATTATTAGTTTCTAACAATCTCAAGTATCTAATATAGATGTCAACAAGGTTATGATTTTCTCAAGTCATACTTTTATTATTATTATTATTTATGAACGATGACATGCAGAAAAATATGTTACATCGATACCCTACGACAGAAGGTAAACGAAATTTATTTATCAAAATGAACAAATCGAATATGCGTATGTGCTTAATGTCATCTATATATAATAAGTACATCAACAATAGAGAATGTTTTTTCTTTCTTTATAAGATCTATAAAAAGACTACATATATATATATATATCATTTCTAAACGACGCAAATATGGTGTGAATCAGTATTATTTGTCGATCTGTTGTTAGATAATAGAACGAGGAAAAAAAACACAGAACAAACGGTCATGAAGAATGCAACTAGACAGACATTTTATTTTCAAACAAAATCATTATCTGAGAAAAGAGAACAGAAGTTTTTCGAGGTTTTAGTACATTACATATTTTTATTATTTCTTTTTTTAGAATGATAGATGTGAATATAATTTTTTATATGTAATCAATTTACTGCTTCTCGCTCAATTTATTTCAAGACATGCAACTCTTTATATGTTGACGTCAATTGTAAGGTAAGAAGATAATGAAATATTTACGTTTTCATAGAGTGTCTTTTCGTTCAATAGATAATAGAATATCAGATTTTTCTATTAATAAGCTAATCTTTCATAAGAAAAAATCAAACATTTAAAGATAAGCGAATCATTCATTACTATTTTTATCTAGAAAATGTATGACGTTGTTCAGCGGTGACATGTGATGAACTATTTATATCATGTCACATCATTTCTAGTTATTTAAATGATAGTTTCGAGCACTGGCGGAGCTACAATTTTGAGCTAAGGGGAAGGATTTAGCTCTCAAGAACATGTTGAGTCGTTTTTTTAGACTATGACATTTTCTATTAATTCAAATCAGGACTGGTCGTGAAAGGTTGATATAGAATGGGCGACAACACTTTTTTTCCCCATCGAGAATAATCAAACTGCAATCGCTATTTTACCAGAAAAAGTTCTTTTTCAAAATTACTAGATAAAATAGCTTGTTTTGTATTTGTATAAGTTAATATGATTAGAAAAATAGTTTTGATTTAAAATGATGAATTAGTGTACTTTAGATAAAGATTATAGTACGAGAAATTTTTTTTTATCAGTAATAAAATAAAATGCAGAGTGATACTTATTGTGATTTTTTTGTAAAAACATAAATTATTTATAGCCGTACTTTGGACTTTATTCGACCTTATGACAAGTATCGTTTTCTTATACACTCTTCTGTGATATAGATATAAATGTTTGCCGATTATAACGCAGTTTTCGTAGATATTCATAATGTACTTTTAACGAAAGATGAATCTTATCATTATCTACAGTTTAATTGTGATACATTTTTTTTATCTTTATTGACTTTATTTATAAGTAAAATGTCATATCAAAATTGTGGCCAGTAAAAAGAAACAGTCAATAAAATTCAGTCTAGTCTTTTTACTAATATTACAGACTATTCTATTAAATAAATAATCTGTCAGAATATACTCAATAGTATTTGATCTTGCCTATTTATCATAGATTTGCGTGTATTTCCTACTAATTATAAATATGAAAGTAGATTATGTATATCTGATGAATATTTAATCATCATACAAAATAAGGTATAGAATTTGAATTTCCTAAAGCAATTCAGACATACATTTCATTTAATTGAAAAGGGAAGAGAAGAGTATCATTACGTATTAGTTTTAGAAAAAAAGTTATACCTGATGCATTGAAGCTTGCGGATGAGGAGGAGGCGGTTGTTGATGTTGCATTACATTCATATGACGATTTTGTACCGGTTGTTGTTCCATGTTTGTTGATGGTGACATGAAAAGATCAGAATTATACGGAAGATCAAGAGGATTATTATTTGTATATTGATGATAATCTTGTTGCATTGGTGGACCAGTATTATTTGGCATCATCATATCGTTGTATGCATTCGTCATTGCTAAATGAAGAAAATTTTATTTTTTCAAAATAAACATTTTAGTTTTATTTTGAATACATACGTCGATGAGTTAGTTGCTGTTGTTGATGTTGGTGTTGTTGTTGCTGCTGCTGCTGATTTGGTCCCATCTAAAAATATTCAATACATATACAATAAAAATTTTATTTTTCATTTTATACATGTGGTAAAGTAACATTCATTGACATATGTAATTGAAGTTGTTGCTGTTGTTGTTGATTAATTGGTGTTGAACTTCTTTGTTGTTGTTGTTGAAGTAATGCGTGTCTTTTATTTAATTGAGGTGAATGATGATTAACAGGTGACATATGCTGTTGTTGTTGTTGATGATGATGTTGTTGTTGTTGTGGTTGCTGTTGATTTGGTGGCATTGAATAATAGGGAGGAGGAACTTGATTTGGTGGTTTTTGAACATAATTATTATACATTGGTTGTTGAGGAGATTGATGATAAAAATTATTCGGTGGTGGTCGATGATGTTGTATATGTGTTTGCTGATGTTGAGGATACATCATCATTGAATTATTTTGTTGTTGTTGATAATTATTATTATTCATAGATGATATAGTTACATTTGGAGGAAATGAATCATTATTGTCGAGTAAATCCATTGAAAGACAATCAGAATATTGATTATTCTAAATAGATAGAATAAAAATTAGATAAAAATAAAACTAAAAAACAAAATCTAAATACATTTGATGAATATGAATATGTTGAAGGAGGTTGAGCAACAGGTGCCTGTCGATATACAGGTGGTGGTGGTGGTAACGGATCTGGATTCACTGTTCGATTTGATGTTTCAGGAAAAAGAAAATCACCGGTAATAGAATCTAAAAATAATAAATTAATAAAATTTTTGAATCTTTATTAGAAATAAAAATATTACTGAAAGGACTATTATCGTTCAGTAGAGAATCCAGTGTTGATGATTGTTGTGGTGGTGGACCTAATGATAATGGAAATAATAATTAAATTTATATTTAGCTTTTGTTCTAATTACCGGGATTAAATGAAGTCACAAGTGTCTTGTAAATTTCACCAATAGCTTTCTCATCTTTGTCGCTACGTTTTGTTGTTGATGGAAATGTTTGCTCAATAAGACTTGAAGAATTTTGTGATAAAATTGTATCAATTGCTGACGAATCATGTAAACATTCAAGAAAATCTTTATTATCTAATAATGAAAGAAAATCATCATTGGAATTATTCATAGTTGCATTTGTTGTTGAATTAAGTAAATCATTTGCAATAGCTGTTATACGATTATTATCATTTGATGTTTGATCTTTCGTAGTTGGAATAAATGATATTTCATTGGGTTGTTGAGGATCTGCACGTAATAATGCAGCTAAATAATCATCTTTTGTTGAAACATTTGCTTTTGTTGATGTTTGCGATAGAACTGGTGTTAAATATTGTTCAAATAGATCAACTGAATTATTCATTTCAGGAAGTAATGATGTATCATTTGATGTTGTATTATCAAGATTTTGTAATAGATCATATAATGGTGCATCTTTTTTAGCTGCTAATGAATTTGTTTGTGGTGTACGTATTAATGAACGTAATAATGTTGATTGAGAATTCGATGTTGAAGAATTTGTATTATTATTTGTATTAGGTCGACGAGCTTGCGATTGAGATAATGGAGGAGTTTTATTGAATAAAACATTATCATAGATTTCTGGTTCAATTTTCACCGTATGTTGAGATAACTAAAAATATATTATTTTATATTTTAATCAAATTCTAGAGAACTTATTTAAATTAAACTTAGAAAAAAGAAAATAAAATACTTCACAAGTAACGCTCGTCCGAGGACTCGCTTAGCACATCCTCGCATCCTATTCAGAGGGTAACGCCACTAGTGGCTTGTTGAACTAGCTTTTAACGAATAAGTGAAGTGTTAGTAATCTTATATGCGAGAAAGCTAGCATTTTATGATCGCCATACTCTGCACTGCAAGCAGGGGGACATTTGGATACCCACTAAAATGCATTACCCAAAAACTCGGTTTCTATCAATCAGACGATTTATGTTTACTGGACTCTTTTCTACGAGAAAGCGAATATCTATTTGTAAATTAACCTGATTAAGTTGTCTTGTAGCAGCAACCGCAGTTGATGGTGAAATGATTGAATGATCTTGATATTCAATTTTAACATCATCTTCAAGTGCTTGTCGAAGTAATTTTGGTTGTTTTCTTGAATTTTGTAAATATTCGTCATTATCATTTGAACGTTTTACATTCATTGTTAACGTATTTGATACTGATGTTTGTTTTATTGGACGACGAAGTACAATAGGTGATGATGTTTCCAATAATGGTTGATCGAGATGAGCTGATGCATCTAATAAAGCATCAAGTGATCCATCAGATAAACCTGTTAGTGGTGTTTGACAATTAAGCGCTCCTAAAAGATAATCCGATGGCTAAAAAAGAAAAATATTAGATTCGAAATTGAAAAATTTTCTTTTTTTACATCTCGTTTTGGTCTTCCAGGTTTTCTTGGTTGAGGATTATTTTGAATTCCCGAACTATTCGAATATTGTCGTTGTTTTTTCTTTGTTTTATTATCCCATGAATCTTCCAATTGACTTGTTTGCAATGATAATTGACTTTTTAACGTTGTACGTGTAGTATTACTTATTGTTTTATTATTTTCAACTAAAATATTTGTACTACTTGATGAACGTCGATTTACTTTATTTCTTGAACCAAGTGTAAATGGTGCTTCGACAACAACTTTCTGTGGACGGATTTGATCATTGAGTAATGTCTTTAAAAAAGAAAAGTAATCAATAGAAAATATTCAAAAAAAAAATAAAAAGATGAAATTTACTCGAAGAAAAATATCACTTCGTTGTTTATTTGTTGTTTGTCCACCTGGTGAACTATCATCACTTTGATTTGATTCTGTTTTAGTTGGTGATGTTGAAAATGAATTTTGTCTTCCTAAAAGTTTCTTAAGTAAAATATCAGCCGCATGATTTTGTGTTGAACTTGGTTTTCGTCGACGTTTTGTTGATAATGGTGATACATGTGTTGTTGTTGGACTTTCAGGTCCTTGTGTAAGATCTTCAAGTTTTGTATCAGGAAGATAATGTAAAATTTGTGATGGATTATCATTTTTCGAAGGAGATTTATTTGTTAATAATTGTCTTAAACGTTTCGAACTTCGAGAAGGATTTTGTGACATAGGATGAATAGATTTTGGACTTGATGATGTTGTATATATATCATTATTTGAAAATAATGGTGATGATGATGATTTTAAATGATTTGTTGGAGATGATGGTAATGAAGTTAAATCATTCGTATTTGTTAAATTTGGTGTAGGTGATGGGAAAAATAAATCAAATGAATTAACTGGTGATGCAAGACTACCATGATTGGAATGTACTTTAAATGAAAAGAAATAGAATAGAATGAAAGAATTTTGTTTTTTAAGAAATTTACCTGATCCTAATGAAGGACTAAAAGGTGTTCGTTTACTACCAAATTCGACAGTATCTGATGAAGAAACACCTAAGAATAAGAAGAATGTTTTTTAATTTCTGAAAAATGAAATGTTTACTATCAAGTGTAGTTGATTTTTGAGCATTCAATCGATGATTTTGTGTAGGTGAAGATGAAGGTGATGGTAATAATTGTGTTGGAGTTTTATCAATTGGACTAGATGTTGTTGGTACAGATAGAGAATGTTGTACTTGTAAAAGTGTACCTAATGTACTCGATACATGTTGATGTAATGAATTTGATGCATTTTTATGCATGCCTAACATCGTTAATGCAAATTGTGTACCAATAGGTTGTGCTGACGGTGTTGTAGGAGCTTTATTTGATGTTTGTTGTTGTTGTTGTTGCTGTTTATTCTTTTGTAAATCACGATTTGACGTAATAATTGATTTCATTAAACGTGTTGATGCATTACCATTTAAATCTTGCATGTTATCAATTAAACTAAATAATAATAAGAATAGTTAGAAATCGAAAATATTTATTTGTTCGTTTTTTTACCGAATGATAGTATGTGTTGAAAGTATTGAGTCGGATTGACCCATTGATGAACTATGAAATAGTTTACTTCGAGTATTGATAAATGCATAAATATCATCATGAAGACAAAAACGATATACAGTACTTTTTGCTTCACCTTTTTCAATAACTAAAAATTGAATAGTCGATAATTAATTATAGATAAAATAAAATATTTTCCGTATCGATTATAAAAATACGCATAACATTTCAAATGAAAAAATCTAAATCGACTACATATGCTGACAATTATTCAATTTAGTAAAAATCACATGTTTACACTATCATTACTGTCATCTAATCTAAAGACTTTTTCGAAGTTAATTATACCTTCTTGAAAATGTCGTTCAATAGAAGGAATGTCTTGAGTATAAACATAATCACGAAAATTCTTTCCAAGAAAATTCATATCAATTGTTTCACATTTCATATGACTATATAAAGACAAAACAAAATTAGATAGCTAGTTTTTCATTTGTTTCTTTAAACTAACCTTGAATCTAAATTTTCTAAATCATAATTTAGATTAATTCGTGAGGAAAATTGATCAAAACCAAGTAAAGATGGTTTATCTCTTGGATCATTTAATGATGGTCGTCTTGCAATACAAATTAAAAATGTTTTATCACTACCGGCCGAATCACGATGAACTGCAACTGATACAATCATACGAACATATGGTGTAGATTCTTTTTTGAAAAAAAAGAAAGAAAGAACGAATTTTATTTCAATTAAAAAAATATTTAACAAACCATCATTTGTTCGCATACGACAAAGGAATGTTCGTCCACGTGATTGTTCATTATTGGCAAGTGTAGTTAAGGAATCACCTATTAAGAATTTATTTATTAAATAAAAATTGAAGAAAAAACACAAACCGGCATCTTTTTTTGCCCAAGCTTTACTAAATTCACCAACATCACTTGGATGTACACAATGATATAAACTTCTTCCGGCAAGTTCTTCCTTCATTAGAGAATATCAAATAAATAAAATCTCTTTTTTTTATTCATTCATATAAAACTTACTTGAGAATATTTTAAATATTGTCCAACATTATCACTAACAGAATCAAATTCAAAATTGTGATTTACTGTAAAGAAAAATCCATCAAGTGCCTAGACAAAAAAAAGAAAGAATGGATATTAAATTTCTTCTATTGAACAAAACAAAACTATTTTCTTCTAAGATTAGTTTGCTTTTAGTTTTTTTTACCAATTGAATACTTTGTTCATAATCAGTTAATATCTTTGGTTCGTTCATGCCCATAATTAAATTTTATTCAATAATAATCTTCCATATAGAATAGAACTGATAGATGAGGAAATAAACGTTTTTTATGTCCTGTTTTTTTTACAAACAATCCTGTAATCATCATCATTATCAGTAGAAAAAAAAGTGCGCACAGACAACTATAAGACATGCACGTCAGGCATTGAAGAGAGCGAGTCAGAACGTATTTCTAAGGAAAGGAAAGAAAAAGTAACAAGTAATATAGCGTCTGCGAGCGCACTTTTCCTTTGTCTCGTTGTTTCATCTACATAATGTGTCTTCAAACACACACACACACGCTTGTGTTATACTGTGTGTAATAATTTTTTTTCATCGTTGTCATTACTGTTCTTTCAATGCGTAAATATTATCAACATGGTAAAAAAAAGAAAAGAAAAACCAGTGACATCCGTTCAGTCATAGACTATTCTTTTCATTTTTTTTTCTTCTTCTTTTTTTCCTCTCGCCTTTAACTTGACACAAGCTAGAGACTTAAGCTTAACTGATTATTATTACTACTACTTCTTCTTCATCTTCGTCTTCTTCTTTTTCTCAATTAAAAGATAAGGAACGGTTCGTTTCTATTTGCAAAAAAGGAAAAAAAACCGAGTCATCTTAAATAATAAAAAACCCTAACATAACATACCTCAAAAAGAAGTGGCCCAAGTGCATCTTGTGCAAGTAATGCTGGTCTTGATGATGAAACATCAGATTGTTGAATAACTGATGCGGAATCTATTCGTTGTCGATTATTATTTAATGGTGAACATATAGTTTTCACAATTGATGGCGATGATGTTAAACCAATATCATCCATCATATCTATGCTTTTTATTCAAACAAACTATTCATTAAAAAAAGAAAAAGAAAAACAATAGATTTTTAATAATATCAATTATACTTTAGTTGTCATTCGCAAAATAAACGAAAAAATAACTTATTGAAGCGTGTAAAATACGGACATACAGATAAAGATTTTTTTTCTTCTAAATTATTTAACTAAGAAAAAGGTACAAGGGAAACTGAATATATATTAATATTTGCAATAGTTAAGTGATTTTTTTCTCTGTTAACTTACGTGATTTTGATTGACATCGTTAGTAACACAATAAATTTGACATGTAATAAATAATAACTCGATATTTGTGTAGAGGCGAAAAATAACTCGAAAGAAGAAAGAAAAAACACACACACACACACGGATTGTTTTCTTTGATTGAAGTAACAATCACATGTAATGATATATATAAGAAACGTAGGTAATAATCTAGAAAACAAAAAAAAAGAAGAAGAAAAAAAATTTATTATTTTGTTTATTGAATTTAATCATTTTTCTTTTGAAAAAAAGCAATGGATGAATGATCGTCATCAGCCGACAAGCACCATTGTAAATGAAGATTATGATGAAAGTCCTCCTCACAAAAATAATAGAACAATAGGTCAGAAATTTCAACCAATCACAGAATAGCATGGGTAGAAATTGGAAATATTAAATACGAGTAATGTTTTTTCGATGAATGATGAGTATAACTCGTCTATTTATTAGATAAAATTGAAAACTAATAATTTCCTATGTGACTTAAGAGCAAAGGACTCGAATTATTAAATTTCTAGATTATTTTTCTAAATGAAATGTCAGACTTTTGGACTCAAATAATACAGTATACAAATACGATTGAAACTGAAACACCTGATATTGAGAATCCTGAACAACTCTTATCTAAATTATTAACACATGCAGAACATGAACGACAATTACTTGAAACTCAGTTTAATCCAACTTCAACAACAACACAAGAAAATCTTCCAATAATATCTCAATTGCAAAAAGGTATTTCCACGGCAAAAGAACTCCTTAATGATCATGGAAAACTACGAAATGAAGAACGTAAATTATCTATTGCAATAAAATCACATGAGAGTGAAGCAGAATTAATTGCACAAGATTTTCGTACAACTGTTAAACGTTTGAATAATACAACTAGAATTATTGATTATCTTCGTTGTCTAGAAACACTTTTAAAATATAGGTAGATGATTATATTCTTAGATTTTACATTCTAATCTTAGTTTGTTTTTAGTTCAGATTTAGAAAAAGCTCTTTCAACGGAATCACTTGACGAATCTTTATCAATTTATTCTCAATTAGCACATCTCACTGAACTTGTACATGATACATCGACTGAACATTTACGTTCATATAGTAGTAATCTAACAGTTTATTGGTATGAACAACTAAAAGCTGTTCTGAGTCTGTAAGTTTCTTTTGCTACACGAATGACTTTGATCTAATTTCTGTTGAAATAGACGTATGGAAAACGTGTTAACTACTCTAGAATTTCCATATGTACATAAAAGAGCATCAAATTATTTAATTGAATTATTTACGGCAAATCAAGATAAATTCAAAATTGAATTAATTAATCTATTGAAATTACGCCTACCAGATCATGTTAAACATGATGATGTTCAATCACGTTTACGTTTTATTGGTTGGAAACCAATACCACTATTTATTCAAGTATTATTAAAAGGTTTAATTATTCGTTTCAATCATCATTTTTATGGTAACCAAAAAACAAATGATCGTCGTAAAGTAACAAAAAAAAAGAGACGGAATCTTTCTTATTTACAATAGTTATTTTTCTAGCCTGAATGGTATCTTAATGAAATTATAAGTTGGATACTTGATCATGATTATTTTTTAACTGAACAATTACAACCGTTACTTAATGAAACGACAAATGCGAAAGTAAAAAAAAAAGAGAAAAATTATTTGAAAGAATAAATAATAATAATTATTATCTAGGTAGAATTTATTCGTGGTCTTATTGAACTTGTTATTGTTAAACTTGATAGTCGAATAACATCAATACTTATTGATACACCATTATTTACACATTATATTGAAGAAATTCTTATTTTTTCTCAACGTCTTTTTGAAAAAGATATTGATTATCCACATAATTTACCTAATTGTATGAATTTATTATGTGATGAAATTGTTTTTGAAAGATGGTTTCAAGTTGAACAAGATGGTTAGTATTTAAATTAGAGCGAAAAAAAAAGTCTTATACACGCGCACTTAATAATTCTAAAACAAAACGCAATAAATCTTACCTCGGAAATCATATCTGTCACGGTCTATGATGATGTATTGTCAAGGTACTTGACATGACTTGTGATGGGGCATCGTCAAGATGTCTGTCGCAGTCTATTATGGGACATGGCCAAGGTGTCGGTCACGGTCTATGACGCTTTCATAAGAATATATATGTCACGGTTCATAGGAAAGGAACCAATTTGGTTTGACTACTACAGTTCAGTATTTCTTTTCTTTTTCTTTTTAAGTTTCTCATACAAAACTAAATGATATATTTCGATCACCAACTGCACATCAAAGTGTTTATGATCGTATGCTCGAACGAAATCCCGATGAAATTAAAATAAGTGAATGTGCTGAAACATTCTTAACACTTATTCATGCAATGGAAGGTAAGAATTATGAATTCATATACGAATAAAAATTCTATTTTATTTAGATCGTTATCGTCTTGTACCATATCCATCTTGTAGTCTTCGTTTATTTTCATTACAAATTAATTTACTTGATGATTTTCTACAAAAGTTAACATCTTCTTTAACAAAAGGTCAACAAGATATTGATCCATTATCGAAACAGTTTTGTTCAATACTTAATTCAATTGTTTATGTAGCTGATGTTATTCAACAATGGAAAAATAGTCCAGTAAGATTTTCTTAATTCTATATATATATATAGATTTATACTTTGATATTTATTAGCATTATGAACGTTTACAATATTTCTATGATGAATATAAAATATTTATTGCAAAATATAGTACAGATAATTTTGATGAAGAAAATTTAAATAATATTCAAATTGATTCAACATTAGCTCAACAATTTGATTTAATACAATTAAATAAAGAAAATCAACGTAGATCAGCAATAATATTTAATCATGTGCTTGAAAATTATCGTAATGAACAAGAAAAAAATCTTGATAGTATTGTTAATCATATTGTTAAATTACTTAAAACAAAAAGTCGACGATATACCAAAGAAAAGTAAAAATAATAAAACAAAAAAATGATTTCGATTTTATTTCTTTCTTTCGTATTTACAGATGGTCAACAATGTTAAATCCAAAAGAATATTTTAGTATGAATATATCATCAACAGCTGTTGATATTTTATTAGAAATACAAACAATATTTTCGAATTTATCAATAAATCTTGTTAAAAATATTTTTAATGAAATACGTGCAAGAATTATAATGGATTTCGATGAATATTTATTTAATTATGTACGAAAAATGAATTTTTACAGAGGGGGAGAGAAAAACAACTTTATTCTATCTTTCTAGGTTATTCTCGATCATAAATTTAATGAAGGTGGTGCAGCACAATTTCTTTTCGATATTAATCGTGGATGGTCACGTATTGCTGGTGATAATCTATCACAATTTTTTAATAAGTATGACATATTTTTTTTTATTTTAATTGTCTATTTATTAAATATTTTCTTAGATGTCGTGAATCTGCTCTACTTCTTACATTACCAAAAGGTTCAGCTCTTTTATTACTTGATGCTTTAAAACAAGATCTATCAATAACATCTACGTCAGATGAATTTCAAATATCATCTCCATTGCCTTCAGCTTTACATGAACAAGGTATTCATCATTTAGGTGAATTAGAAGCTGATCAAGTACTACAATGTCGACTTGATTTGACTAATTGTTAAACTTTTTTTAATTTTTTTTTCGTTCTTCTTATATTTATGGAATAAACAGAGGTGCTAGTCAATCAATTTGAATTAAAACTGCTGAATGTTTGCCAGAATTAGCTATAGCTAATGTATGACTTATTGGATCATAATCAAGTCCTTGAGGTCCATAGAATATATCAGTTGTAGATGGTTCAATAATACGTATAAATGTACCTTGACGATCGAAGATTTGCACGCGATTATTTCCCCAATCAGATACAAATATATAACCTCGTTCATAATCAATAGCTAGACCAGTTGGTGCTTGAAATTGCCCATTTTTTGTTCCAACTGAACCAAAACTTGTTAGAAATTGTCCCTGACGTTCAATATCAAATATTTTTACAGAATTATTATGAAAATCTGTTACAATTACATGTCGATCATTATCCTGTTCAGTAAATCGAATATAATGTGGACCAGCTAATTCATGTAATTCACATCCTTGTCTTCCAAATCGATGTAAAAATGAACCAGATGAATCAAATAAACATATACAATTTGCTTTATTATCGGCTACGACAATTCGTTGTGATTGATTCGATACACAAAGTCCTTTTGGACCTATTAATGATTGTTGTCCAAATTGTTTTACTAATTTTCCATTGCCATTTTCATCAATAGTCCAACGACTGATAAAATGTTGATCATAATCTGTAACAAAACATGTTGAATTATTCTCAGATGTATTTGATAAACCAATAGGACGACGAAGTGAAGTTTGTTTTGTATTTGTTGATGATACAAATGTACCTGTACAAATTCCAGTTTCTTGTGAGAAAAGTTGTACATTCTGATTGATTGTATCCGAAACAAGAAGTGTTCGATTCGGATTTGAAAGAATTAATACATCTTGTGGATTACTAAATTGTCCTCGTTGTCTTCCATGTTTACCAATTATTCGATAATTATCATTATTTTCACCTGTAATTGTTGATGTTGATGTTGTTTTTTTCATCGGTTGTCGTTGTATTGATGAAATACTGTAAAACAAGTGTTTATGAAAAGTATTTTTGTTATTTTTCTTTCTTCTTCGATTTACCTGTGTGTAGCATATGGTGTCGATGTTATATTAGTCACTATACAATATAGGAAGAGAGTAAGAATGAGTGATTAAATGCCAAAAACATATATATATACTGACTCACTCGCACATCATCAAGAGATGTTGATATTGTTAAACGTCCAAAATTATTAATACTTTCTTCCAATTTTATTTTATTAATTGGAGAAAATGTATGACTCATAGAATTTGAATGATTATTAACTTGTTGTATAAGCTGTCGAAAACGTTGATCAAGTCGTCCATGTAAATGTTCAAATACTCTATTCATCTCATCAATAGCATGCATTTTTTGAAATGTCATCTTAATTGAATGACAAATGATATACTTTTTTTCTTTTATAATACTCTAACTTAATTGAGTGAGAAATGCACCATCTGATGTTTTTTACTTGTGCTAATATGGCGTCAGGTGGTTAAAATCATCGTATTTTTACAGTTATCTATAATTCAATTCATTTATAGAAAACTAGATTATATTAGATTCTTATTAAAATACCAAAAAAAATGTTGTGAAATATCCAAAATAAAATTTTATAAATTCTTTCGTTGTTATATTTTTTGTGTATATACTGACTCATATAATTATTATTTTTTCACTATACATTTGCAAATTTTTATGCTTCATTCTTTCCAATATGTATATGTGAAACCATAAAAATACTGTCCTGTTTGTACTTTTTTCCATTTAACTATATTCGTTGTCAATGTTACGCATTTTTGCTTCCTAAAAAACAGTTGACTAGTTTACATCGAATACAAAACACAAAAGGAATATAGTCTCGACTTAAATGGAAGCAATTTGTGTTCAATGTAAAAATACTGGATGCATTGCAATGTGTTATGGATGTCAAGAATCATTTTGTACAAAACATTTTATTAAACATCGATTATATCTTTCTGAACAGATGGATGATATTCATAGAAAATATGAAAATTTTCAAAAAGATTTAAATCGAAATAATTTTGAACAAACACTTCTAACAAGTATACATGCATGGGAACGGAAATCTATAATGAAAATTCAAGAAATTGCTGAAAAAGCTCGATATGAACTTCAACAAACAATGGACAACACTAAAAATGATGTACAAGTTGTATTGAATGAAATTTTTTCAGAATTTCAATCAAATTCAAAAACAGATAATTATACAGAAAATGATCTTAATAAATGGACTAGACAATTGTCTGAACTTCAAAATTTACTTGAAAAATCGGCAAATATTTTTATTGTACAAGATAAAAAACCGTCTGCATTAATTCGTGGAATTAAACTTACTTTTCAACAACAACAACAACAATCATTGAATTCAAATGTTATTTTCAAAACTAATCAAGATTTAGATGAATCTATTCAGGAACATTTTAGAGTAATATCTGGACCATGTCGATTATCAGATAATGATTGTGTAGCTACACATTTAAATTATCGTGCTGGTTTATCACGAATTAGTGGTATTCAACAATATTCATTTGGTAAACATGCAATTCCATTTTTAATTGAAAAAAAAGGAACTAAAAATATATTTATTGGTATTCATTCTTCATCAAAATCAATATCATCAACAACATTTGATTATTCTGTTCATGGATGGTGGAATCTTGATTATATGATAATCAATGGTGAGAGTAAAGGAGGTGATAATAATGAAATAATTCAAACAGGTGATAGAATAACATTAATTATTGATTGTGATAATCAAAAGTTATATTTGGAACATGATCGAACAAAAAGACTTGAACATTTACCTATAAAACTTGATGTATGTCCATTTCCATGGAAAATACTTGTCAGATTACTTACAACAGGAGATTGTATTCGTATATTAAATTAATAAAGATACGTAGAGATCAAACTATATTTCGTAGAAAAAATTGTCATTTTGTGTCACGATGATCTCGACTATGGACTTTATTTTTTTCACATGTCCAGATAAATTAAAACGAAAAAGGTTTTATATAAATATGAAACAGTTATCGAATGTTCTTCACAATTGATTTTCAATAGAATGAAATATTTCTATCTTATTTATTTAGCATGACGTTTACAAGTTCTATTTCAAATGTAAGTTTTGTAGTTTTTAACGCAATATCATCAAAAACTAAGTGTAGTAACAAAATTTTCATAGACTTCAATAATATAGCTTTGTTTCGTGGAAAATCTTTCTCTCATATTTTATCTATAGAATTCAATAGATTCAGCATATATTGCTCTTACCATTTCCAACGGCCCTATAAATAAATATTATATCATCCATTGGAGTATATTATCATTTTTCTCGTCTTATATATATACCAACAGAGAATTACTATCAAAACACTTCAGTATTAAACTTACTGATATTGTTATTAAAAGTAAACTATCGATTATAACTGAAAGATAATTTTGAATCCAAAAGATTTTAATAAAAGGCAACTTTGTTATTACGATGTACACATGCAATTTGTCATTTTGCATTGCGATGACCTTGTTATTGCACCTATCTTATTAATGTGAAAGCATTTCAATGAACTACAACACATTTTATTGTGTCATACTTGTACTAGTCAATCAATAGATTGAAATGAAGTGATATCAAAATTAAAAGTGAGCTTTACACTGTCTTTTGTGTCGTGTAGTATAAAACGCACACTATTTCTGTAGAACATACAATTAAATCATGGATCGTTAATCTATACAGAAGCTATGTGAAATTTATATATTTACACTTTATTAATCAACAATTAATTGTAATGTAGTCAAATCTCCAAGATGATTTTCTAACAATCACTTTTAAGCTTTTTTGCTAGTAAAAAACAAAATATTTTTCCAATAGCTAGAAAATAGAATAAAAATAACAAACGTAAGTGAAGTTAGCAACGGATTCGAGTTTTTCCGCTCATCGATCTGTGTCACAAATAATAGTCAGTGTGACACAGATCGGTGGGTGAATATTTGACCAAAAACCTCGAACTCGCTGCTAACTTTCCTTACGTTTGTTATAAATGTTACATTTCGTTATTTAGCTTTTAACACTTCAACTTCTTCTTGAATATAAATGTTGTTTCTTATGATGAAATTCAATTCGAACGAGAAATCATGACAAATCTATAAATGAGTATAGTATTAGAAAATAAATATTTGAAAAATTTGTTTGAAATATTTCGAGAAGATTAAATCGAAATAAACGTGAGGCTATATTGTAACTATTTTATCAATAGATAATCTTCTTTTATTCTAGCAAGTTTATATTCAATACTTCCTCTTTAAATTCATATATAGTTTATTTTTTAATAATTAAGATACTTAGTGATAATAAGAGAATGATGAAGGTTGAATAAAGTACTCTTATCTATAGAGCACAATTAGAAAAAGTCATTTTATAATCAACAATAATGCAGTACAATGGGAACAGACAATGATAAATATACTTTATAATGAGTAAGTGATTATGTTTGAATTTGTTTATTGGAAATATGTAGCAAATGATTATATCTATATTTGATAATTCATAATTAAAATATTAACAAAATACTTATTTTCCAATTTACCTTAGTCACACACGTGAATATCAATTAATGACTATCATAATTTCTTGTTCTTGAAAACATTGTTCGTTGATTAATAAAATGAAATATCTCTTTTTAATATTGTTTATAAGAGTGTATCAATACTTTTAAAAGAATGTCAAGAATTTATTATGTTTGATTATGATTGTTATAAATAAAATTGTTGTCTAGAATTGATGGTTTATTGTATTTAGTTGAAAATAAATTTTGATGTTAAACAAAAATCGTCGAATAATGAACCAAAAATAGTAACAAAGGTTTAAAACAGTCTCGATAGAAATCGATTATGAATAAAATGATGATTTATATAGAATCTACAATTTCTTAGATGAGAACTTTAGTTATGGGTAGTTCTTTAGGGTAAAAAAGTAACTTAAACTATGAATTAGTTTTTTTGTGTTCTCAATGTAGTTTATTTTGATCAAATATTTTAAATTATGATCGACAAAATATTTTCTATTTTAATTCACTGAATATCCTAAGTATTCTACGACGACTATCTGTCAAGTAAGTTCAGAAGGTCTCTTCCGTTTCATGAAACAATCTAATCGCATTGGTTTATCGCTTCATATTACTACATGTTCATTGTGAAGTATACTGCTTCTGCAAGAAGGTTTTTTTCTCTTCCTCCTTTCCTGTTTGTTAAACCGTTCTCTCAATTTTTTTTTTCTTTATTTCTACAAGTTTTTTTTCTGCCATCGTGTTATAATATCTACATAGTACCTATTATGAAGCTAAATCTGTATTTTTTAACGATTTTTTGTCATCAACTAAAATGTAACATCTTCATAATACTTTTTATAAAACTACATCACTATTTCCAAATTAGTTTGATAAAGAAGAAAAAAATTGGGAAGGCTTCCCATTACAATATTTATCATTTATGGTATATATTTTTTTTCCTTCTTTTGTTTATTTTTTTTTTCTGTTCTGTTTAATAAGAAATAGAATTCAAAAAATTATTATACACTTTATTGAGTGATAGCTTTATGTATATTTCTTTATTCGGAATTAATCTTGTTGACTTCCAAAATTGAAGAAGTCGTTAATATTTTGTGTTCATAGATTATATGAGTTTTCTAGGCGGTTAAATTTTTGGGAGTATTCTGGATGCCCTTTATTATTCAGATTCCGAATGTAGATTTTATGTGTTCTGTGGTGGTTACTTCTCATAGTTGTAATATGGAGGAAGGTTTCAAGAATTATCTCACTAGTTTAGATCGTACGCATTCAGAGACTCACGAGGAATATATTCAAAACTCTACGAGTATTTGCATCAATTTTGCTAAACAAAATGTATGAAGAAAGTAAAGATGTCATAAATATTATTATTAATTTTCCATATGGCATAGTGACGATGCATTTTTTTTCCAAGACCAACGCAAATTTTTTACCATCCTTTTTTTTGTAATACAGTTTTCTTTGACAGTGTAACTTCCATTATTCTGATTATAACAGACAAACAACGTTACACAAAGGTTGTTTTTCTTGCGTTTCTTTGTAAAGAAAATCAAATTATTTTGAGATAGCTTTTGTATTGTATACACATTGTATACTATAGCAACATATAACTGGAAAAAAAAGAGGGAACAGACATCATTCTGTTGAATGGGATATATTTCATTCGAAGACAAAATACTGATTGTTTGTGAAAATGAAGAATTATTGAAGTTATTTTAGAATGCTGAAAAACAAGTTCTCTTAACTGATTTCTTTCATAAAGCGTTTCTTATGTTCACATATGAAATTAAATTTAATATAAAGTACTCTCATATTATGAAAACGGAACTAATACTGTACATAAAATAAGATCGTCAGATATATGTATTTTTATTCTCCGCTTGCACATTAACTACAAACAAAAACCATCTCTCAAAATGCATACTATCTCAAAGTGAAGCTCTGCTACACATTCCTGAATAAAAAACATAAGTCACGACTAGTTTTCTATCACAGTGATGAAATAAAAAATATCTATGACGTGTCAAAAGAAAGAGACATTGTTATAATATGGAGGAAGGATCCAAGAATTTTCTCACAAATTTCAATCATATGGATTTAGTAACTAATGAATAAAACAGAAAATATTATAATGTTGTACAATATATTCAAAACTCTAAAGAGTATTTGCATTAACTTTATTAAATAAAATGTATAAAAAAGTAAAGACGTCATGAGCGTTAATTGTAATCTTCCTAACAGCATAGTAACGGTGTTTTTTTCCAACATCAGCAGTTATTTATTACCATCCTTTTCCTGTAATACACAGTTTTCTTTGACGATTCAATTTCCATTATTCTGATTATCACAGGCAAATGTCATTGCACAACATGTACTTTTTTCTAACGTTTCTTTATAAAAAAAATCAAATTATCTTGAAATAACTTTTGTATTGTGTACACATTTTATATATTTACAGCGTAAAGCTACAAAAACTAGATATCATTCTATTGAACGGGGCATATTTTATTCGAAGAAAATGTCTTATTATTTGTGAAAATGAACGATTATTGAAGTTACTTTAGAATGCTGAAAAATAGTTTCACTTAATTGATTTATGTTATAAAGCGTTTCTTTTGTTGTCATATGGAATTAAGTTAAATATAAAGTTGTCGTTGTTTCTGTATAAAAGAAGATTTTAAGATATACGTAGTTTTGTTTTCCGTCTGCACATGAACTACGCAAAAGAAAATCATCATACTAGATGCATGACTTGTTCAAAGTTAACGGATACTACACAATTCTGACAAAACAAATTGCAAACTTTTTTTCTACCATTCTGCTAAAATAAAAGAATATCTATGATGTTGGAAAAAAAGAGAAAAAAGAAAAAGAGCGAGAAACTGAAAAGGTATTTAATGCTATGTCTTCACAATGCATTTCATTTATAGTTAAATTTATTTCTTAACTAACATTCTTGTTAGTTATGGCGAGCAGAAGAAATTCTCTATTTCTTCTGCTCCTTCTTATTACACAATCCGGCACACAAGATATGCGATCACTTCACATGTCGATTAAAACTGGTTGGCAATTTCAATGTTCTAACTCAAATTGCTCACCATTGGCTGTTATTATTGTGTCCAATATCCGCCAGTGCCACATGGCTTGTTTAGCTGAAGTCCATTGTAAAGCAATTAGTTTTCATAAATCATCATCCAATTGTGAACTATTTGCTGATATATCAAATCAAAATGGCAATTTGGTGAGCAACGTGGACACTGTTACTATGATTGTTATGGATGGAACACGATTTCCACTCGGTAAGTGTAACCACGGTTATTTAGGAAAAAATATATTGAAGAGAAAAAACTCTTTTTCTTTTTTACATTGATCGCAAAAAAAACTGGTAGACATATCAAATAAAACTGTTCATAAACCTTCTACTAGCTGTATATTCCGTACCACGAGCAGTATATTCATAGAATTTCTTTTAGAATAGTACAAATGATATTAAAATCAGAAAGATCAATAGCCGATTTCTTTATAGCGCGACTTAGTCCCATCTCTTAGGAATCGATCAACTAACTCAAGCTCTAATATAAGTTGACGCAGGAAATGAAATACAAAGTCATTCAAAACCTTCATATATTATGTATATGATATGTATACGTTACGTATAAATATATTTTATATATATGTATAGATGCATGTGTACATATATATTTATGTAATTAGTATAAGTTTTTAGAAAATATTTTCATGATCTACTAGGTACTAGTCGGGTTTACTACGGATTACTACGATCTAGTAGGTAGTTCTACGGTCTAATAGGTAGTGCTACGACCTAGTAGATATTTCTAGGGTCTAGTAGGTAGTACCAAGACCTAGTAGATAGTACTAGGACCTAGTAGATAGTACTAGGACCTAGTAGACAGTACCAGGACCTAGTAGGAAATACCACGACCAATGGTTTCGCTCTCAGCCATATCGAGATGATGCACCCTTCGAGGATCCAACAGATTCACCCACGAGCTCATTCCCCACACCCTGGTAGTCAGTAGCAATCTCTGATTTTCCTACTGTATCTGGTATCCCTATTGTCCCTCGTATCCTGGCTTGTCTCTGGTGAAGTGTGTTAGAACTTGAACTACTTTGTTATTCGTTCACGACATCCAGTGAGGGCCCCTTATTGGCTCTCTAGACTGGATAATACGAATTGTGGAAAAATAACTTAAAGAGTGTACTGGGATGCTACGCTCAATATTCGTTGATATATATATGGTTGATTTTAAGTTATCATGTAACTTGAACACAGATACTCATAACTACTTTCACACATCCTTATATAGCATACTACGAATAAGATAGAATGGAAAATACCTAGCATACACGATAGGAAGAAACAAACGGAAACTCTAGAAAGAAAATGCTTATCTGAAAGAGCGCAACACATATATATCTATAGAAAAGGAAGAGAATGAATATATATGGACAAAGCCCTTGTATAGTATTATTCTATGTCTTATTCTCTAATGTGGCATAGCACAGGCGTCTGTTTATCGATATCAGAGATGTAACAGTGAGATTCTCGCAGTGTTAACTCATGAGGGATATATCGGATCTACAAAATACTCTTACGGAATCGATGGTGTGGGTGTGGGCGCGGGTCTTCTTCCATTCTCACATCCATATTGAAGGTGAGGATATGAGGATTGAAGAGGAGCCGCAACTACGTCCGTGCCACACCGATACCTTCAATCTCATTTGTCTAAAACAGAATCGACTACGGCAGCAACAACACCAGCCGCACTAACATCACCGGCACCAACACCAGCAGCACTAACATCACCGACAACAACACCAGCAACACTAACATCATCAGCAGCACTAACATCACCGGCAACAACACCAGCAACACTAACATCATCAGCAGCACTAACATCAACAGCATCAACATCATCCACATCATCAACATCAACAACAACATCAACCACTTCGTCATCAACATCATCCACATCATCAATAACAACATCAACTACTCCATCATTAATATCGTCCACATCGTCAACAACAACAACATCAACCACTTCATCATCAACATCCACATCGTCCACGTCGTCAACAACAACATCAACTACTTCATCA